ATTGAAAAGCTAAAAATTAGTTGAAGAGAAAAAAATTGGATGATATGGATACTGGGAGGATAGTAGCGGTGACCGAAAGTTTTCGACATATATTAATTAAAACTAGTGTAAATCAAATAAAAATTAAGAAATTTTGAAAAACATGCTAAGATTTCTAATCTATCAAAATTTTATTTTCCTTGTAAGGAATTGTTTTATTCTAGTTATTGATATTAAGGACTACGAATGACCAGTGACGAAATCTCAGCACGGATACAGAAGGCTCGACTAGCCTTTGCCAACTTGCGTCATTTATGAAGTAGGCGAGATATCCGTCTATCAACCAAAGGACATGTTTACTGTGCAGCAGTTCGTTCCGTCCTACTTTATGGCAGTGAAACATGGCCGGTAAGAGTAGAGGATATCCGTAGGTTACTAGTATTTGATCATAGGTGTCTTCGAAACATTGCTCGTATATCCTCGGACCATCGAGTAAGTAACGCAGTTGTCAGGAAACGGGTACTAGGTAAGGATAGAAAATCGATTGATTAAGTGGTGAAACTTCATCAGTTGAGATGGCTGGGACACGTGTTACGTATAACCGACGACCGACTGCCTCGACGTGCTATGTTCAGTGGTATAGGAGTAGGTTGGAAGAAAGCTAGGGGCAGCCAGACCAAAACATGGCACAAGTTCATGAAGTCACTGACAAGTGGACTGAGTCATGTTGGTAGGTGTAGACTACCTGGTTGGGGACCGCGAGATGATAGCGACCGACATGGCTCAAAGTCGTTTGCAATGGCGCAGGTGCATTCACTCTTTGTGTTCTCTTAAATTCTAATCTCCTGATTCCTCCTTGTCTCTTTTTTCTCTTCCCAAATTTATTTCACTGGATTATACTCTTTAAATAAAATCTCCAAACCCTAATAACTCCGATTACTGCTTACACTATTACTACCACTACGAGATTTGAATCGACAACTGCATCTCTGTGCTAATGTAGTATGGCAACTCGGACTGATGTACGTACGTACGAAGTTCTACGTTGTTACTGACTGACTGAGTCTAAATTTATATGTGCGCTATTATGAGTAAATTTTCTCGATATTTGATTGAGATCATGAACCGACTGATGTTAGACCACCGTTGGAAACCTGGAAGCACTGAACGGCCGTTTCGTCCTATTTTGGGACTCCTCAGCGGTGCGCATCCACGATCCCGCTCGCGGGATTCGAACCCAGGACCTTAAGTCTCGCGCGCGAACGCTTAACCTCCTGAACCACTGAGGCGGCACCTAATGGTGTTAGTGTCGATAATATCAACTAACCACGATAATTTGGAAGCAGTACAAACAGTGAAACCCACAACACGCGTTTCGTCTTACCTGAGATGCATTTGCTAATAGAGATTGGTTAACTGAATTTCTTAACACCAACAATGGTAAAACACAAACCCTTATAAGTAAAATAAATTTCATAACTGTTACACAACACAGAAACCGTCAAGACTCAGTAGCTCGGTGAATATGTTAGTGTTTGAAGCAAGAATTACTGGGTTCGATTCTTAATATGAATGTAAACATTAAGATCCAGGTACATTAATCTAACTCTTGGATAGGACGAAACATACATCATGGATTCCACTGCTAGACACAAACCAACTTTATTAAAATACTTGTGACAAAAAGGTTATTGACCATTCAAAGTGCTTCCTACCTAATTACCAGATTGTACAAACTATTAGTTTTGTCAAAAAACAATCAACACCAGAGTACCGTAAGCATATTAGCATAAGTGTTACTTTATGAAGTTATTACAAATCTAAGAGTTCAGCAACAATTTGACAGTTTAGACATGCATTTCCCAGTCAGTTTTTTGAGTTCAACATGTTATACTTTGAATAACACAATTTCATTTCGCATTGAAAATATGAAGTATGCTGTATTGTGGAATAAAAGTCAGTCAGTCAGTAACGAACAATGTAGGACCTTAGCACATACATACGCATTAGTTTAAGTTGCTATACTACATCATCCCTTTAAGATCGCATAGCATATCAGCTGTAGTGAACTGTTTGTTAAGAGAATTCAATCTAGATAAATATTGACAATGGTTTATCAGTGTTGAATATCTTTAATTTCCTCATCAAACATACTACTTTTAAACTAAACAGCAGTGACAGAAAACTGTAAATCAATTTGAATTAAATATGTTATTTTTTTATGGCATCATCATACATATTATCATCTCAATGATTATTTGCGTGTGATTTGAAAACTTGGCACTGAAGTGACATAATTATATATATATATATAATTATGTATCTAGTCATAGGATTAATTGTTCAGGAAACAAAACTAGTCCGTTATAATCCTATTTACTAAACCTTGAAGAATTTTAGTGATCGATAAATATTATGCTAATCGTAGTAATAATAACAATAATAATAGTAGTGGTAGTAGTACGGGCTGGAAATAAGTGACATTTAATTGATTTCACTAGCTGAGTAATAATAAGAATAAAGATTGTTTATCGAGAACGTTACAATTAGCAAGAGAAAAACAAGGTCTTAACAAAAACTATGGAACTGTGTACTATGGGTTTAGACATTTCAGAAATAAAAAGGATACAAAGAAACATAGTTAACAAGTATTGACCATTGGAATGAATTAATTGCTCATTTTTCATTCATTTATACCTTATTTTAAATTGTTCTGATGACATATGTTATACAGATTGAAGTGGGACATGTTACATTGAAACTTGAAAAAGAAATTTGATTTGATTTTTTTTCTAAAATCATTTTTATCAGTAGAACGACTATCATTATAATACTTCATAAGGATAAACCGATTTCAACCAAATAGACTGATTAGCGATTCTTTTTTATGGATTAACTCATTTACCAGGTAGAGATTCATAAACTTGACTTCAAGCACCACACACATTCTAAGTTTGAGTGAGAGCTACCACTACCCGCGGTTGCCGAAAGTCGAAATAGGCAAAGCGGAGTTCTAACCTGTAACTCAGTGGTTGAAAGTTGAACATCTTGGCTAATGAGCCAATACTTCAAACAACCAGTGGTTGTAGAAGAGCTAGGCAAGGTAAAAATAACGGCGTTAGCGACAAGCTAAATCCAGAAAATACCATACATTTCAATCACTAAATAATCACAAAATTTAATAACACTATCCACCATCCGAAAGGAGTTAACAGTATTCATCTCCTGACTCTAAATAATAATCATTATTGGAACCGTTCCCACTGTCGTATTTCAGAAGTTTATTTTTTTCTCTGTCAGATATTAGTTATTAGACCTATCCGAGAAAGCTTAAATACAATCATTCTAGTGTAAGACTAACTTATCAAATTTACAGTATAACACTGACTTAATGAATATTAAAAGTAAATTAAATAACATTTATATGTTAACTCTTTCAAATGTTTTTTTTTCGGTTTAAATACACTACTGATGAAGTTGATAAAATATCTAAACAGTTTACAGATCAATTTACGTATTAAATAGATAATCAAAATAATACTGTATATTTTAAAGAATTTTTTATTTTAGTCCAAAATCAGAAATTAAAACGAATAATTACAGTAAACTGACTGAATCAATGCAATTCTTAGATTTCATATTTTTATATTTAATTAGTGTAAAAACATCTGTTATCCCTACTTTGTTTTTGAAGCAATGGAATAAATGGTTAGTTCGTTTGTCAGGTTCAAACTTCGCTCTGTCTACTGCCTTGTCAGCAGTAGAATAGTAAAGTATCACAATTTTTCCACAATTAAAATGTCGTTTCATAGAAAACAACACAAGTGTACATTTTGCAAATGAGTTACTTATAAGTTGTTCTAAGATAGAAAAGAAATATACACTGATGACAAGCTAAAAAGAACAACAAACAGTCCGGCAAATTTCATTTGTGGGACCCATAACAAGTGCAAACTCCCAACTGTATATTTGTGATTGACAATAGTGAACACCAGTAAGAGCGAGTATTAATAAAGATGATCATCAAAACAGCAACTATCAAATAATTTGCATTCACTGATTGGCATGGATCAATTAGTTAAAATAAGTAGGATGAGAATGTCATATTGAATACAGTGGAAGATGCTCGTGTAGTATTGTGGATTGTTTGAAGTTAGACATTAACACCATCGTGTCCCGACTCAGTGGTCTAGGAGTTAAGCGTTCGTTCGCGAATGAAGGTTCTGGGTTCGGATCCCACGTGCGGCTATGGTTGTCTAGCATTGATCGGTTCATGGTCTAAATGTATTCACTTTGTACAGAAATAACAGTTAGCAAAACATCGGGCAAAACTAAAGAACACTTTACTACTTGGCTTGTGGTCAGATCTTTTGAAAAATCTAAACTTTAACACTTCCGATGAAACCATTAAATCCCTAAAGAAAACCTTCACTTGAATACAAAGAATAATAATGATAATACTAATAAAATGATCCCAGTTATTCATAATATTCAAACACATATATAGACACAAAAGAAACATATTATAAGGTATTTGTAGGGATCGATAGATTTTATAGTTTACATCAAACAGTGATCTTAGTTAGACCGAACCCAGAAAGCATTGGACAGCTACTTTGTATTAGTAAACGATTCCTGATCATTGTGTGTTTATAACTCTATCCAGGGTTGAACGCAAAGCCTTAAGGTTTTACTGTAAGCGCTTCACTTTTAAACTATTTGTTCGACACTACAATGATTTGCATTTCAAACTTCAATCAATTTACGACATTTTAGAATCGTATTCTGGTATCATTAGTAAGTAACTGCCTCATATCCGACATGGGTGAGACACACAAAAGGAATGTAATAAGAAGCAGTTTTTATGATTACTACCAACACTAATACTACTAATAATAATAGCAGTAATCTTAGGATATGAAAACATATATAAGGGAAAAAAGGCTATATTCTGCAAAACAATTTGATTACATTTTATTTTTATTTACTTAACAGCATAGTACACTTAAAATCGAACTTACCTATGCTTTTTTTTCTTAACATCAGGCGAATCTGACTTTTCATTCCATGCTAATTCAAAGATTTGTGAGAAATGATCATGAAATGGTCCCATCTTTTTTAAGTTAATAATTCAAAAGAAAAAAAACAGTACAAAAAGAGATGAGCTATAACGGAAAGCTTCTTTAAAAAAAAACAAGAAACAAAGTCCATGTAAGGATGAATTATACAATGATGCATTCAGTTAAAATACTTGAATAAATGAGATTTAATAAACTAGTACAAATTAATATAACACTTGGGAAGGGATAGTTCATCACTTGAGACACTCGGGTCTTCAACGGTTAAGTTGCAGATTCAGTATCACTAGCCCCCACAGTGTGGCTAAAAACTAAGTACACAAAGCTACTGTTTGGTAAATAAGTTACTTCCATAAGTCCTCACAATTGACTTTGAACCACATGAGTTTCAGTGTTGGAGCAAATGATATAACCCAGTACCCGAAATTGATGGAACGGAGGCTGAATCAGCAAACAAATGGTTGAATAATAAATGTTGTGAATTAAGCAACTAAATTGGTTAAAGTTAACCAATCTTGAAAAAGTACACAGTTAATCAGTATAAAAACATGTTTAAAGTGATAAAACGTTTAAGGATTATAGAGGAGAATACATCAAGAAGATTGTCTCTATCACATGGGTCACAGAAATCATATAGTAGTATCCGTACCAACATGCATTTTGTTACGTTAGTCAAAACTGTACAGAAATTCCAAACTAGTTTTAAGACGGATAGACAATGGTATATGATTTTAACTGGTTCTATGGATGATTTTAATCGGAACAACAGGCTACTCACAAATTATACTAAATTCTCAACAAAACGACCTAAAGTATTAATTTCCATTGTGAAACAACACATATGTAAGCGAATGATGTTGTTTTCCATTTGATCGTCATGAGGTTTTACCATTTTACACATAAATATTTATATGGATATATAGAAACGTCGAACCGATCAAGGCAATTTATGAGGTTTGATCCCGTCTCTTATATATAGCAAAAGCTATGGAGATCCGAACTTATAACCCTAGTTCAGAAGAAATTCGGGATGCCGCTGTTCCGTCCTTGGCTAGATATGACCTATATATATGATTATTTGTGCACATTAGTCAGTAGCGCAATACACTTTCTTGATTCACTATTGTGTTCTTACTCAAGTAGCTAGATAGATAGTTAACGTATTGCACGTTATATCTCAATATCAGATCTTGGACAACAATCATCCAATGCTTTTCTTTTTCACTTCAGAGTTTTAGTTGACATTATTTTCATATGATGGAAAAAAACCATTTAAAATATTTGCACTTAGCTACCATTTAAACTGATTCAAAATGATTAAATGTTAACGACATAAAATGATACATTTGTTTTTGTTTTTTTACTATGACAATCTATTTTCTACTTAGTTTTTCGTCATAAACAAAGGAACAAATTTTGTTACATAAAATAATTTATCATCTTTATACCTTATGTATAATAACATTATAATAACAATAAACTATTAATGTAACTACTTGACATATGTATATATAGCTTCAACGAATTATTTTTGTTTTAAACGAAGATATCTATTTAACATATTCTTAGTATGAAATATCTAAACATGCTTAATTTGTATGATTTCTTCACTTTATTTAAATTATTTGATTATGTAGACAGAAAATATTGATATTAATCATAATAATTAAAAGTATGTATGGGCATCAGTTTAAGTTTTCATGTCAGATTTAGCACAGGGAAATGAAATTACTTCGAAATAAATCCCAGAGTAGTGGAAGTATTAATAGTATCAGCAGTAGTAGGAAAGAACGTATAAGAATTCGGGATTCAGGATCTAAGGAAACACAAACAGTGAATGCATACGAACCATTGATAGTAATTTTGAGCCATGGTACATAAAGTATCTAATCATTGGTTGCGACGTCTAAAAAATGACATCAGTCCATGAAGAAATCGACAGTTAGGCTGGGCCATATATGTAGATGCGGACAACCTGATTGGAATCCACGTGATTAATATAACCACTGGTTAAAGATCTTGAATGACACGACTCACAATCGTTTGGAATTGCGCATTCATTCTTTGTCTTCCCCTAAATTCTAAGCTTCTAAATTCCTCATAACTTTGTTCGTCTCACTGATTTTTGTATCCTTGAATAGTATATTCGATGCCTATTCCTTTATATTACCATTAACACCCTTACTACGTCTACTACCCTGGAATTCGTCCCGGCAATTTCATCTCGCGGTGATAATGGGGTATGGCAACTTGAACCGATATACACATGTGTCAGGTTCTAAGTTGTGTTTGACTGACCGACTATAGTAATTATAGTAATCACGCCAATCAGGTAGTTGACACTTATTATTATGGCTCAGTCCCATTGTCAACGACTCCATAGACGGATGCCATATCTTGGTTTGGCCCCCGTAACATTCTTGCGACCTGCTTTTACACCAACCAACATCGCTCGTCGAGGTGAACTGTGGTTGAACATACATAAAACGAAACAACTGTCTCAGATGACGAAAACGTACAAACTAACCGACATTTACCTTGTACCCTATGTAAACCCCGGTCATCGCCCTCTCGATGTTCCAAAAACACAAAAGCAATATGCTTCAAGGATATCGATGATTAACATTAGTAATCTATGTATATTTCCTATTCCTAACGGCTATGTTTCATATTCATAATGTAGGATGGAGAGAACTGCCACACATTAAACTCATCCTTCAGTTGATAAATGAATATTTCACTTATGCCACACATGTGAAAACAAGTTAATATATATATTCTAAATGAAAAATTAAACTGTAAAACAGTTGAACACATACACCCTAAACAAAAAGGCATGGTTGTTGAAATTAGTATTTCTATCTACTCGTTAAAAAAATAACAAGAAACATTTTGAAAGAAGAATGAAACACCTAAGTGAATTATTCACTTATTAACAAAGGATTAACAATGACTAAATGGGAATCTAAATACACAAATTTAAATTACACCCTAATCATCATACATACTATGAAAATAGTTGAATGAAAGAAGCAAAAGTCATTGTATCAAATCGAAACAATGAAAGGTAGTGAAAAAAACAGAAATATTTGTAGAAAATGGAAAAAACGAGTATTCCGATTCTGTGTACCGGTAATGACTTCATACAACATAATAACTTGTTATACATTTATTTAATAGGTATTGAAAAAGACTAAAACTGTTTAATTATCGTAATCAAGATAGGGAGAACTTAATGAAAAATTTCAATTAATTAGATGAATATTGAGGTGTTTAATTAGTGGGTCACAACTCAGAATAAAAATGAACCTTCAAATCATACACACACATAAACATACGAATCCGTGATAGTCTTTAGTCACTGAAATGATATGAATAAATTGCCTAGATTCTCATTGTTGGATAAAGAAATTAGTAGGGGTATACTAACGATTGCACTCAGTGACATATCTGCAGTTAAAGCATTTCCCTTCCAGCCACTGAGTCGAAATTTCGAGTCAAATTCCAGCTAAACTACTTTGTGTAGCTGAGTAAAATCGCTAGCCATCACAGCTAGAGTGTACAATTTATATTTCGTAAATGAGTTATTATTATAATAATAATAATAAAGATGATCTGATACATTAAATCAAGATTGAGAATATATATTGATAAATGTGGATGGGATTTTGCGGAGATTCTGTATGATTCAAAAATTATTGTTATTAAACAGGAAATAGTTGAAAACCACTGAAAATCATAGAGAAGTTGAATAGCCGACTAGTGTTGTTTGGAGATTACTCGCTACAAAATATATATCCAAGCTATCACGACCATTCAAAATCCAGTTTCCTTCCCACGTTACCTCAGAAGAAGTAACTTATATATATATATATATATATATATATATATATATATATATTGGTGCCCCTTTGAACCAAAGTATATGTGTTTAAAAAAACTATAATATGACTCAATGTCACATGTACTTAGTCACAATGTTGAGTGGTTGGAGGTTAACGGCGAGGATCATTGGACCTTAGTTTCGTGCCACCTGGTAGTTGTCAGCAAGACATATCTGTAATTCGTATAAAACTAATTGAATAGACATCAATTTCTCGATTTCATACACTATTGAAAGGTCTTCGTTCTTAACACAATAAATTACTTAAATTAATAACACTTTATAAATATATGAACACGAACACACACACGATTACTTGAAATAATTTATTGTAAACGCTCTCATCAGCCTATAACTTTGCTCAATTAAAATATACGCATATAAATAAATTTAATCAGGTCACATCAATCGATCACTACAATAAATAAATTCAACAGAACAATCTTTATATAATACGAAGTTAAATCCGCTATTGAGTTTACTTAGTCTAACATAATTGAATGAATAATTATATAATGATAAATTCTACTTGAATATCTTTACAATAACAAGAGACTACAATAAATATACTCCAAATTCAAACAAAATTTATTCGTACATGCACCACACTATGTTGACAAATAATCGTTGACAATTCAAAATAAGCACCATTTCTATACTAAAGTATTAAGTAGAAAAATGGTTTACTAGAGAGTTAATTTTTGGTTATGTCGAATTTTAATTAAAATTGATTAGCTCAAGTAAGTTTGATAAAATATACGTGTACCTGGTAAAAGGTAAGAAAAAACATACACTATATCGAACTGTATTGGCTCTATGACTATGCGTATGGCTTATGAAAGTAGAAGATATGAGTAGGTTGTTTAATCATCTGAGTATTGTTCGTTTATGGTAAAACTAGAAAGTTATCAGCTTTGAGATTAGGCATAAATTTTTAAAGCTGAACTGATTTAAGTTATTCTCAGTCACTTAGTTGTCTCTAGCTGACAAGCATACACAATGATTACATCAAATCAATACTGTACTTCCATAAATAAAATACTTTAATATTCACAGATTTTATGTCATGAACTGATCTTAGTTAGATCATCACTGAAAAGGTGGAAGGATTTGATAGCAGTTTCGTTATATTATAGGACTCCTCGGCAGTGCATATTCGCGACTATGATAATTGTCCCATTAACTGCTCATTCGCTGTGACAATAAGGTAAAAACCAAATACAATAACGATAATGATATGATTTTGTGATTCACTAAAGAGAGAAAAACATTCATATGCTGTTTGGTAGACAGTAATATTTACGATAATATCATCTATTACATCGGGTAAAATAGAAGAAATTTCATGGCTTATATCACGAAGTAATCTTCGTTAAACAACTGTTAAAAAACGCATGACAAATTGGTGGATGAGAAGGAAAATGGCCATACACGGATACATTCAAATAACAAATAATTGTATTTGTACAGTGGTTGGTAGTAGTCAGCAGGATACCCTAAATCTTGGTATCTTGCAACATGGCGCTCGTCACAAAGGCACAAATGAAACCTCCCGAAAACTGGTGCTACCGATGGAACTTCAGCCCACATCACCTAGCTTCACAGTCTGAGATGGTAATACTGACCTCACAACTTATATGGAATTTCAAAGGGAGAACTAACCCCTCTATGTTTCCAAGTACACTTTGCTGATGAGTGTCAACTAGCACGAAACCTAGGTCCAAAGTTTCCATCTGACAACTTCTGACCAATTAACGTCTCAGCATAGTGCACTCAGTGTTGAATCGTTTGAACTGTTGGCTACACTTCAACTCGATCAATAGAACTCGATTAGAATTAAAGAACTAGACAGACATTGTATAGGTCACAATTAAATGATCAATTAATGACAATACGGTTCTATTTACTTTGTTTTTTATTTGGCTCTGCTTGTCTTACTGTCTACATAAATATGAAAAAGATAACACATCGCCATGATTACTGACATGTATTTTGAACAACATCGAGAAAAAAATTAAGTTTAGGAGGTATGTGATTTCCCAGACTACAAGCAAAGCCCTCAAACTGCACTGGTAGGTAACAAGTAAATGATTCTATTTTTTGTTTTCAAGCGATTTCTATGGCCTGTCAGAAAATTTTGTATATTTGTGGGTTATTGATTAATATGCTGTAAATGTATTAATAGATTACTGTATTTTAAATTAATTTACATCCTTCACCAGACATAAACGCAAACTGCCCAACGTAAAATATTTAAGATAACTCTAACACTGAAAATAAGTAGTGCTACGAAGTCTGACAAATGTTGATTAGCCAACTAGACAACTCTACTCTGTAACTAGTCGCCAAGCATTTGTAATTGCAGTATTTAAGCAACCGCAAAATATTTGAAGTAGACATTGTACTATGAAGTTATCCAGTTGAACCTAGATTTCATTTACAGTGTAGATGTAGGACAGATACAACATAAAATTACCATTTATACTAAGCAGTTATTATTCAAATAGATTGAACATTTCATGAGGATTCAGTTGATTAATTCAATTTTAATTTAGACTCATTTTAACGTGGTATTGACAATCAGACTGAACAACAATACTAAAACTCTTGAAAATATTAGAACGTAAGACATCATGTTTTCAGTGACAGATTTTTAAAAAAAACCTTTTGTATCGAAACACAATCCGCATATCGTTTGATCTGTAATAGTATGCAAAAAAACAAAGAAACGATCAATTTAATTATCACACTATGAGAGGACTTTGTTGAAATTATTAAAAAGAAAAGAATTTCAATTACTAATTCATTATTAGTTACACTCATTTATCTACAAACATTTACTACTATTATTACTATTATTACTACTGTCCTATGATTTATTACAGTAAGTGATTAGCTTATTTTAAACATTGAATTAAATAATTCTGAAATTCTTTAAATGAAATACTGTTTGTTTTTACCCTATTTTAAAAATGAGAATAACTATTCTTGTTAATTGTGAATAAGATGTGTTTAATGAAACGATATGTTGCTAAGATATTCAAATATATATGTAAGAATAATAGCCTTCTAATTATATATAATCTAAATAAATAAAAAATATCATTTCAATCGCTAAGCAACAACGAATCATAAATTAACAACTTGTCGTTATAAGCAGAGATGGATGGTGGTTAGCAGTAGAATTCAGAACAAGCTTTTCATCCTATTTGGGACTTGTCAGCTGGATGTACCTGCATCCTAGAATCGATTTTCACTCCGAAACTTGAACCCAGTACAGCTTGCTTCAAACGCAATCGTGCTATCTCATAAGCTACTGAGTTCACATAGCATTAGCTTGTGCGATGGGGTGAAGTTTAATATTTATTCAAACAACCAATAAAAAATGAATTAAACCTCACCATTATCTTATAACAAACGACCCTTTGTTGAAAACTTGTTTTGTTTCATATTTGAAAGGTAATCTGATTTTTAACATTTTCCTGCCTCAGTTTTATTCACCAAAGTTATGCACTTATAAAGACTGAAGAATGGAAATTAGGTTGTTAAAACTAATTTATTATATCACTGTTGGCAAGGTTTAAATCCTACCGATTGCACAAGCTAGGGGCTATCTCGTTCGAAACAATAGCAACTCAATCTACTGGAGAGGTACTAGGTTTGAGTCTCGGTGTGAATATCAACGCCAGGATGTGGCAAATACATCCAGATGACGAGTCGTAAATAGGACAAAACACGAGTCGTGCATTCCAATGCTAGTCATTATCTATCTATTCTATCATCCTTTTGTCTTATTTCTGAAGTGCAAGTATTCATTCTCTACTTTTTTTTAATGATATAAATAATTAGGTCAACTTAGAATCGAATGCATTAAGACGATATCAAAGAATGATGTATCGATCTATTTGTTAAATAATATAACAAAAGGTAACTAATTTTTTTATGAAAGAAGATAACGAAAGAAACGAGATGAAATGTGATAGAAAATGGGTATTTTTTCTTGTAAAAATAAACAATACTAGTTAGTATTAGTCCAAAGGTGTTTTTAGGGATTGCTGAGTTTCACAGTTTACAAAACAAAGTGACCTTAGTTAGGTAATTATTGGAAATCAAGAGGCTTTGGGTGGCTATTTCTTTTTAGTACAGGACTCCTTGACAATGCACATCAACAAACCGCCAGCTAAGAAGCCCAAGACCTCGGTAGGTTATTCAATGTTGTAAACTGATAGAAATTATAAACACGAAACAGTAGATGCCAACTCAGTGATCTAAAGGTTTAGCACACAATAACCTGAATATCATAGATTCGATATACGATGAGGTCATGAATGAGGCTGTTGTGAAGGAGTCTCATACTACGACCAAATAGCTGTTTAACCACCCCTGGTTTTCACGAACTTCGTAACTAAGGTCAGTTTGAGATATGAACATATTAATTAGGTTTGATATATTTAAGAACATCGCACTACTTGAAAATTTTGACTCAAAATGATTTACAGTTATTATCATGATTCATAATTTCGCCAACTGATCAATACTAAAAGTATACTGTACTGACAACCTTAAGAGACCTACCAGCCAATTAGAAAGTGTTTAGTTATATAACGATTTATAATAAAAAATAATACGTTTCAACTAATGAACAGTTTTCGTGTGATCAATAAACGCTTGTATATAGAGTTATTTAATAAGGTGAACGAAAAAGGGTTTATGGTTAGGTATTCATTGGGCTACAGTTATGAGCTAAGGTTGGGAGTAAACAAATTTTGTCCACGAAGACACCGTCGACTATGAACTGAACTTTATGAAATACTCTCAGATAAAATCTGTCAGAGAAGCAGATTTATAAGTTAGCCTTTGTATCAGTTCAATCACTGTATGGTTGCCAAAAAGATATATTTTATCGATTCTAACCATTATAGGAATTATATATACGGAATTTTTACCTGGTTGCTAATAGGATACTAACTATTCATTACTGGGTTTCGAATTTTGCATATAAGCTCAAAAGGCTCTATCGTAAATGTCATTGATTCATCAGTATAGTTCATCATGATCAACAAATACGTGAGTTTAAACAATCTGAGTTGACTTCAAGACTATTTGTTTGACAAGTTTGGAGCAAACGTTTCATTAATTAAACAAATCCAAGCCATTCGTTTTTTTATTGAAAAGTTACGTATTATAATTGTAGAGTATGATGGGACATTGAGTAGTCACCTTGTTTGTTGGCAGACCAGTAAACACTACATCCTAAAACTTTTTCTGTATATTCATGTCATGAATCCATCGGTGACCAATACATCACAACCAATCAAAATATCGGGGTTAAAGAAACGATAGTTATTTATTGTCACCTTACATAAACTAAATAACGATACAGACCAATCCAGAATTAAATTAGATGATATATATTGGAGAGGTGACTAGGTTCCAAATCTGGTCAGTTTACTTGAGTTTAGTCAGCCATGTACTCTCACTAGCACTTATCAAATATGTGGATTAGAATATATAGAGATAGAATTCAACACTTCCTTATTAATTTCCATACAATAAACTATGATCACTCTTTTTTTTATTCACCTACTTAATTTAATTACAACAAATAACAGAACTGCTGACGAGTCTTAAACAACAATTAGGCAGATCAATAATATTTTCGTGTTTCTCAATTAATCTTCACGATAAAACGACCTTAGAAATTTACAGAAATCTATAGAAGTAAATATATAACTTGATAAGGAGTCTAATACCCAGTTTAATTAGATTTTAAACACTTATTTGTTTGTTTACAAAGTCAATCCCATCATTATAAATATCATAATGAATATATCAGAATAAATTTTTTTAAAGTCTCCTTCTACTAATTACTTACCTCATCAATTGAAGAATAGGATGACATAGATGAAGTTGTTTTCACCAAAAGTAATTGACAACGTTGACATTGTAGTAAACAAATTGTGTGTGATAATACTGAATAAATAAGACGAGTTATATCAAGTTGTTCTGAAAATATGATTCGTGCAAGTTCCAAAAGTACCTAGAATAAAGAGACAGGCATAACAATGATAACAAAAATATTACTTGGGAGAGTAGCATTAACTAATAACATATAAAAAGGAATGTTGAGTTTTTAATAGGATGCAATGAGCTAATTATCTGACATAAAAATAGACTCTACACAATGCTTAGTTACTTAAAATAGTATCTGTGGTGTGATTTAATAGATAGGATTTGATCAGCACTGTGAACTAGATAAGCAAGATCCTTCTAAATATAACTCAGTCAGTCAGTCAGTAACAACGTAGAACTTCGTACGTACGTACATCAGTTCGAGTTGCCACACCACATTAGCACAGAGATGCACTTGTCGATTCAAATCCCGTAGTGGTAGAGGTAATAAGAGTATAAGCAGTAATCGGGAAGATTAGGGTTTGGAGATGTTATTTAAAGAGTATAATACAGTGAAATAAATTTGGAAACAGAAAAAAAGAAACAAGGAGGATTCAGGAGATTAGAATTTGGGAGAACACAGAGAGTGGATGCACCTGCGCCATTGCAAACGATTTTGAGCCATGTCATTCAGGGTCTCTAACCATCGGTTGCTGTCATTTTGCGGTCCCCAACCAGGTAGTCTACACCTACCAACATGACTCAGTTCACTTGTCAGTGACTTCATGGACTTGTGCCATGTTTTGGTTTGGCCGCCCCTAGCTTTCTTCCAACCTACTCCTATACCACTGAACATAGCACGTCGAGGCAGTCGGTCGTTGGGCATACGTAACACGTGTCCCAGCCATCTCAACTGATGAAGTTTCACTACTTCATCAATTGATTTGCCATCCTTACCTAGTACCCGTTTCCTAACAACTGTGTTACTCGAAGGTCCCATGATATACGAGCAATGTTTCGAAGACACCTATGATCAAATACTAGTAACCTACGGATATCCTCTACTCTTACCGGCCATGTTTCACTGCCATAAAGTAGGACGGAACGAACTGCTGCGCACTAAACACGTCCTTTGCTTGATAGACGGATATCTCGCCTACGCCATAAATGACGCAAGTTGGCAAAAGCTAGTCGAGCCTTCTGTATCCGTGCTGAGATTTCGTCACACACTAAACCACATGGGCTGATGAGACTTCCAAGATAAGTGAAGCGGTCGACACACTCAACTACTTCACTCCCTATCACTAGTTCGGGTGTCGATGTAACCCAATCCTGAAGCAACATTTTGCATTTCGAGGGAGAGAATCGCATCCCGAACATGCTTGCATTGTTGCTTAGAGTGGTCAGAAGACTCTGCATTTTGTCAGCGTCTTCACCAAATAAAACTATGTCATCAGCATATTCTAAGTCAACAAGTGAACCTCCCGGTACAAGTTCAACCCCTGTATATTTAGATGAGGAGAGTGTTATCTCTAAAAGTACGTCGACCACAAAGTTGAATAAGAATGGGGAGAGTGGACAGCCCTGACGAACACCACTTGAGGTAATCAATTCTGATGACAGTTCGCCATAAGCTCTCACTCTACCAGTTGTGTTCGAGTAGAGAGCCTTTATAAGGTTAATGTACTTCTTTGGTACTCCTTTCAGTGACAAACACTGCCATAGAACCTCACGATCAATAGAGTCGAATGCCGCCTTAAGGTCGAGAAATACTACCATTGTGGGGCGTCTGAACGAGTGTCTGTGTTCTAGAACCTGACGTAGTGTGAATAACTGATCTATACAACCACGTCCAGGTCGAAAACCAGCCTGGTTTTCTCTAGTCTGCTCTTCACGAGCTTTAGTTTGGCGTCGAAGTATTATTGAGGCTAATATTTTAGACACTATATTAGTCAAACTGATTCCTCTGTGATTGTCACAAGAGGACTTTTGTCCTTTCTTATAGACTGGCACAATCAGTGATTGAGACCAGTCAGATGGGATTACGTCCAGTTCCCAAATTCTACCTAAGACCTCGGTTAATCTCATTGCTAATACTGGACCACCATCCTTAAAAATCTCAGGAGTAAACCTGTCAGGGCCTGCTGCTCTCCCTCGCTTCAGATTTCCTATCGCTTTTTCAACTTCGTAAAGGGACGGAGGACTTACATTAACTTCCCATTCAGGTTGACTGGAGATCGTGGGAAACCGAAGTGTGGCTGAAGGCCAGTTGAACTGATCCCTAAAGTGTTCTGCCCATCGATCCAATCTCCTGGATTGAGAATGAATAATATGTCCATCTTTCTCTGAGATTGTTTCGCTAACGGTCGGGTTCCTAATTCCGGTTTCCTTAACGAGTCTAAACAATTGTCTGCTATTACCTATTGCCGCTGCCTTTTCCATCTCTCTTGCTTTCGCTACCCACCACTTTTCGCGATCATTGCGTAGACTTCTTGTCAGCTTGCGCTTAAGCTGACTCCGCTCGTCATTATGTTCAGAGCCAGGTGGAATGTGTTTCCGAGCATTTATCAGTGAGATAGATGCTGCTGAGATCCAGTGTTGCTCCCTAACCTTCTGGTTTACCTTACTAGCAGATATCACTGCTGTTTCCACAGCTTTTCGGATATCATTCCATGCTGCATCGGGGTGGGCATCACATACATGGCTGCCTAACTGTTTTCCTAGTTGTTCCTGAAATATACTCTTAGCTTGACTATCATTAAGTAGGGCCCTAAGAGGTTTCCTTGCAGGATCTTTCCTACGTCCAGTAAGACGCAAGCAAATACGCGCTCGCACTAGAGCATGATCTGAATCTAGGCATGTGCTCCAGAATGAGCGACAGTCTTCTATCGAGCCCCTCCATCGGTGGCTGATAGCGATGTGATCTATTTGGGTCCAACGTTGGGACGAATTAGGGGGTCGCCATGTTAAAAGATGTTTTTCCTTATGCTTAAAGTTAGTATTTGCAAGGAACAGGCGGTTATCTGAGCATAGCTGCAACAGACGGTCCCCATTATCTGTTCTTTGAGCCACAACACCATAGGATCCACCTAGGTGTCTTTCCTTATCGCTTAGTTTACCTACTTGAGCATTAAAGTCACCGGCCACTATTACTACATCCGAGCGCTTAGCTTTTCGGAGAAGGTCCGAAAGCTTTCTGTAAAACTCATCTTTTACATCATCTGAGCTGCAGTCAGTGGGAGAATAGGCAGAGACGACGAAGAGGCAACGACGAGTGTCCCTATCTTTCCGGATTCTTACTGTTCCGTTCAGTCGGACAGCGCACAAACGACTGTTTACTGGGATCCACTCTAAGAGAGCTAGTTCTGCCCTAGGACTCAATGCTATACCTACGCCGGCGAGGCCACGGGAAGCAGAATCAGGGCTTCCAGATACACGAAGCGTAAATCGAGTCGGTTCTTTATTTTGGCATGGTGAGGTCAAATGAATGACGCCACTTGGATCCTGTAAGCGCGTTTCGGAGACGCAGCACACATCGATGGCGCGAGATTCTAAAGTTTCAGCTAAGGAAGCCTGCTGTCCTATTTGGCAAAGTGTTCGTACGTTAAAAGCTCCTACGTGTAGTTTAGAGCGTGGTTTCAGGAGACCAGGAATGGCGTTCCACGTACTCGAATCGTTTGCCCTAGCGGTGCGAGGTGATAAAGAGACGTGAGGAGGGTTAGTCGGGAGGATAAGAGAGGTATTAGGAGGTGTAGGAAGTATTTGAATGTGACCACCTTGGTCTCTTGTGCTGTTACGGGTATGAGGGCTGATGTCACTTCCCGGCTGCCCACACCGTGAGGAACCTGAAAAGGAAATTGGATTAATGCTGGTCTTGACGACCTGGGAGCGCGACCGCAGAGCCCAAGAGACAACTGCTTGAGCCCGGTCGCGCACGGCCTTTTTGTGGAAGGTTTTTGACGTGTTAGCTCCGTTCTTCAAGGGGCCTTACCGCCGGAGATGGAAATCCGTGAGGTAAGGTGAGGTGTGCATTTTTAGGGTCGACCTTTTCTAACCCCACCCCTCCTTGTGGGAAGGCAGCATCGCTGTCATGCTGGTTGTCCGAGGGAAACACCTTACTGCTGTCACACCTCTCTACAGTCAGCAGTACGACTTCGCCCTCAGACCTTGAGTTGCTGCTTTTAGTCTTACCGTTCGCCAATTGACCTGCCTGGCATGGTAGAACCTGCAAGAACATATGTTCCAGCCAATATAGCTCGGTTGGGTCATCAGGATAGGCAAGCCCGACCACCGCGTCAAGGTAGCAGCTTCGATCGGTTATTGAGAATTGAGGTAGTCGTCCCGTGAGTTCCCTGGAGCGCTGCCATATATCATATACCATGTACAGGTTTATGTATCGGGTTTGGAAATGTGCCGTTTGTAATGGCGTCAATATTGATGCCACCTGGCTGCTCAGAGATAAATACATGGAGAAGAGTTCAAACCTGTAACTTGTTAGCCAAAAAGTCAGTGTTTTTAACCACTGATTAGTTACTGCTTTACACTACATAATCTTAACACAATACAGAGTTAAAACAAAACATTATTAAACACTTTATACACTAATCAGCAGTTGACTGAAAGGCTTATATGCTTAGCTTTAAACTATACTTATTGTATATAAAAACCACTAACTGTCAAAATCAAATTACATATTATGAAGGGTTGAATGTGTGGTAATACTAGTCAAAATGTCGAGTAATATGAACTATTATACGTTATACTGCTGTTAAAATTAACTGACAATTCACATTCCCTATAAAGCAACAATTTCATTCAATAAAAATCTGTTAATTCAATAATTCAATAATCATATAAACAAAACTAGTTAGTTAGTTATTTGAACAAGTGATTAAACAAATCTCGTTAATAAATCGTAATAATATGAAGCCAATCATTGTTTCCTAAGTGTTTGTAACACTAACATCAGGGTATATATATATATATATATATATATATATATAGAGAGAGAGAGAGAGAGAGAGAGAAAGTGTATACTTTTTTTCAAACAAGTTATTTATAGACAAGAAAATTACAACTTCGTTAAATTTACACAATACACTGACCGAAATAATAAGTGTCGAATATTAAAGTGTAGGTAGTTCCCCATAACTGACTTTAACATCACGTGAATTAAACAGTTCTTTTGTCGACAGACCATAACATAGCCTTCATTGTTTTGATTTTGATCTTATGAAACAAATAACTAGCATAGATCTGTATACATTATGCTTAATGAAGGTATTTAATTGGAATTACATTAAACAAATACAGAAATTTATTGTAAGATAACATTCGCCCATAATGAAAATATAACTCAGTGGTTATGAGTTGATTTTTTAAAACTTGATGTATAGAAGAACAATATATTATGATTACCTATTACGAATTTTGACAATGAAACGCTTAATAACTATATGTTTTAAATGACAATATTTTCCGTTAAACGACAATACGTTTTTAGACAAAAAAAAAGCAATGAACAATTGAACAGCTTACTAAATTTAGCATAACAAGCTAATAGTGATATATGAAAAACTGCGTATGAGAATTGTTTTAATGTGACACTATTGATTAAAATGGTATGAATTATTTATCTCGCAATTGAACGATATGACTTATAGATGTTAGGTAACTAATTTAGTTCGCATATTACAGAACCTGGCAGTTTTAATTTGTTGAACGATTCGTATATGAGTACAGAATTTTATTTGATTCTTCTCACTATGCCTGTAAGTTGTCGCTTGATTACTTTGGTCGAATGCCTTTTTTCAATGGAATTAGAAAATTTACTAATGTAAAATATTATATCCTTTATATAAAATAAAGTTTAATTGTACGCCAACATACGTCATCATCAAATCTAGAAACTTATTGTTGAATAATAGCAATAACTGGACAGTAAACAGTCCTGAAGAGTTTTTGCCTAGGGCAAAATACTTTCCAGCCTTGATAACCTTTGATAAATGTCACTTCTCAATTAAAAACACTGGTTTATAAATGATCATAATAAAATATCATCTCAATGAAATTAAATAGAACTGCTGAATACCATGAGTATTAAGTTGAATTATCCAAATAGAATTGCATAGTGATATGATGATAGATAACTGGGTTGATGTAAATGTGAACATTAACTACATTTCGAGATGCTAACGAATAAATACATATTATTTTTGTTTTCTCAGCTTCGTATACTTAATTTCTTAATTAATAGGAAGACAGATGCAATAATTTTAAAATCTCCTCTGAAATAAGACTTTCACAACAGAAAAATTTAAATGATTTAACTAATGTTTAATAGAAATGATTAATTTGGGATAGTTTCACAATTTAATAAGTCTAATAAAAACTGGAAAGACAAGATCTTGCATTAAACCTATGTATTTTACAAGCATACAAGAATTTTAGAAACAGGTCATAGCTCATAAACTGCCGAATGATAAAATTACTATTAATACTAAAGCAAATCAATAGTCCACAACTTCGAGGAACCCTGAACTAGGAAAAACAAAAAGCACAACCGTTAAGAACTTTAATGGTTGGTAAATCTATATCGATTGAAAGAATAAGAATTAATTACCTCTTTAAGTATGGATGGAACTAAGTAAGTACATCAACTTATACACCAAACCATTTTTTATTACATTTAACACGTTGTCGAAAATAGTTTTACCACTAATCGAGAAGGGTCAAACGACAATTGGAAGCCAGATAATTATGGGTAGCTGAATAATCTACATTCCAAACCCATTATCAATAGCAGATGCTCACATTTCTGCCCATTACCACTACACATCCTGCCTTTTATCAAAGAAATGTATCATGAATTTTCTTCCAATGGGAAGAAAACGTTTAGGATACTGTTCCCCAACTTTGTTGTATCGTTGGCAAATTATAGATTGTACTAAAACCAATCTTGCAAAATTTAAGAATGAATTATACAAAGTAAAGTTATAGAATAACGGATAGTACTTACTTGGTTCCGATAAGTTTCTAAACGACTTTGTTCATAAATTTGTGCATTGTGTAATCCAATACCACAGAAAGTAACATATGATTGAAATATTTTTACATCTTCTTCGGTGAATGACGCATGTTTCCTGATTGGTTCACTCTCACAACTACTAGGTTGAACTGAGTTAATACCTTGATCACGATGCTGATCAGAAGGAACTGTCTTATTGATAACCAGTGCAACACCTAACACTTTTCCGTCAACGTTTTTTATAGGCATGCATAAAAGGCAGCGCGTTTTATATCCTGTTACACGATCTACGGAATCATCAAATCGAGGATCCTGCCAAAATGTTTGGAAAAATATTGGTAGTTAACACCTTTATCGAAATAAAATGCAAACCCTAACAATAAAACTGGCAAAATCTTCTAAATTCAGTTATTATCATCCAACAAACAAACATGTTTACTGAGTTAAACAAATATTGAAGGTGGTGGGTGATGGACAAAGAGTCACAAAACTAGTATTTTGCCTTTTAAACCTTTGCGAATTTGAACGTAACTGACAGACTGACCAAAAATAGTATAGAATTATTCAACTAATCATAAATAACAGAGAACTTCGAACAAACGTGGATCGATTCGAGTTGTCACATTTCAAATTAGTTCAACGAGAGAATGAGTTAAAAAGATGGATAAGAAATTAAAAATGATATAATCGATAATGAAAACCGAAAATGAGGAGTTTGGTGAAATAAATTAAATGACCTAATGAGAAAAACAAAGTAATATTTAAAAAATTAGGTCTTGGAAAGATAAATATTACGTACTCTTGTGCCACCGTCAATGGTCTTGAGCCATCTCCTAAGGGTTGTAGGATTGGTGCCTTAGGAACAGAGTAGTTCAATACTATTATTAACCCCCACAGAAAACGTATTGCTCGGAGCTAAGTTTACAGTCCTAGACTTCGTTATGGGGTCGCAAAAAATAATTTAATCTTCAAATTGCTGATATCAACGTATGAATATCATTCTACTGGGTTATAAATATCAAAAGATAAGTAAGGCCTTTAAAATGTCGGTAGAAAGCTTTATAGAGTTAGTGCTAACATATATCTGGCCTGAAATTTGCTGCTTTTGATTTTAGTCAAACTATCATTTTACCTCAAACATAGATGATGAAAACGAATAGCAGTAACAACATAATTAAATCATTAATCCAAACCTAAAGAAATTCTTGAAATTCAAACTATATGGACCATATTGTCTAACATCGAAACTCCTTGATCTAGAGGGTGAAACGATCACATGCACTGTTTACAATTTAAATTTTAAGTTGTCACCAATCAGAAAGTGAAGATGAATAAGGCGGTTAAAAGGCTTTTTGTGACACTACTGGACAATGTCATTTGCTAAGTGGCAATAAATTCATTATAAACTACGGTTTAGGATGACAACATGCTTGCAACTAAATAAAAAAGGCAACACAGGTCCTTAACTAGTACTCAAACCGATAGTCTGAAGCAGTGGCTTAGTGGTTAAATGGCCTGATTTTAAGCCACTTGGTTCCAGGTTCGAGCTCGGATTCATCGAGTTCCTACCAGACAACTGAGCAACATAATTAGCCTATGCAATTAAAGTGTGATTCATGTCCAAATACTTATTGAAGGAATTAATTATGTTTTTATTTCAGATAACTTATCAACCAACTAGGTGGTTGACACCCTTTACAAATATAACTAAACACGTTGTTACCGAAACTGCTTACAGCATATGCGTCCGGAATATTCGCGTAATCTCCAGTTCGTGCGACGTAGCCGGTTACACCAACATTAAAAGGAACAATGATGTGATTAGAAGAACATCGTTGTAAAACATCGTCCAATATACACTCAGATGTAATGTCAAAAAGTTTACTAACAAGAACATCCTCACCGGTTGAACGTGACTTTTCCACAAGGAAAAATGATCCACGATCAGCGTTAATTAGTCTACAAACATTCTGGACGATTTTAAAGCATAAAGATGTCACGTCAAGTTCATGACAAATATCCAAAGCAAGTTCACTTATCAAATCTCTCTCAGTTGGATGTGTTGGTCGACTTGGTGAAGGCACAGTTTGACGAGCAGGACTAGCATTTAAATCGATGTGTTCAGTGGCAGGGGAAGGAAAGAACACAGAGTTTATAAATGTGGGCTTCCCATCTTCGTTAGAAGATAAAATACGCTTGTCATGGGTTAATTCCAAATCCTGGCTGCTTATCTTACGTATTGGTAGTGATAGAGAAGTAGTCACAGAAATTTTATCATTATTTTTATCATTATGCTCGTCCAAGACATTTATTGAGTTATCAAAGAGGCCATCAGATTCACTATGATGATGTCCATTAGCCCAGGCTTCAACCATGCTTGAAGATGCTGATTTGACAAAGTACTTGAAAGCAAATTCAGGATTTTCATCTAACCAGTTAGTGATCATATCCTCGAAGGAAAATTCAGACTGTTCACTAATTTGACCACCACAAAGTTCACACATTTTCACGAAACCGGACATGTTTTTCTTGACACTGAAGATTGTTTATTTCCGCAAGATATTTTCAGGACAAATATAATATAAGGTCATGCAACTCAAAACACATCAACGATGAATGTATGCACGAAAAACAGCTGATGCTGTGACAACATCTTCATAGAACGCGCTTTTCAGGTTAGTCACAATAAATTTGGTCGAAAATAAAATTTGTTTTTTAAAGTCTACGAGGCCGGTCAGCGTATTAATCTCTGAAGTTGTTTATTTATCAATAAACAAACAGTCTTTTAATAATCTACCTTGAGTTAGAGTTTAAGTGGTTCAATTGGTTGTAGATGGACTGTCAGTCTAACTAGCATAGTCGTTAAGTTACTTGAAAAGATAATTCGGGTTAGGTTGCTAAGCCACATAGATTTACACAATCTGTTAGCTCCTGAGCAACACGGATTTTATAGCAAGCGTTCATGCTTGACTAACTTGCTTATCGCGAGAGAGGAATGGACAGCAGCCCTAGATAACGGTCTGTCTGTCGATGTGATATTCATAGATTTTAGAAAAGCATTCGATAAGATTTCACACATAGGTCTTATGCAGAATCTCACGAGCTTCGGAATAATAGGCACTGTACATGAGTGGATAGGTAACTTCTTATGTGACCGCAGACAGAGAGTAAGGGTTAACGGAACGCTATCTGATTGGAAGCCGGTCAAAAGTGGTGTACTCCTAGGCACCATCTTAGGTCCTCTGCTCTTCCTCGTCGTCGACATTATTGTTTGCGGATGATGTAAAAATCTGGAGAACAATAAAAAGAGCGACTGATCATCTGGATCTTCAAGCTGACTTAGACGATTTAGTTAGATGGGTTGGAGAGTGGGGCTTAGAAATCAATGCTAGGAAGAGTGTGCTAATGCACATCGGTCACGGTAATAGTTACACTTATACTACTGAGGGTAAACCTCTTCCGTGCGTTCAAGAGCATAAAGACTTAAGAGTAGTAATAAGTCATGATTTAAAAACAACTACGTATTGCAAAGCAGCCATAGTCAAAGGTTTTCGTGCGTCATGGTCACTTCGCCGAGCGTTCAGATCTTTTTACGAGGAAACGTTTCGAGTTTTATATCCCATATATGTAAGACCACATTTAGAGTACTGTATCCAAGCAGCTAGCCCGTGTCTGGTAAAGGATACTAACTCCCTTGAGCGTGTCCAGTGTGTGGGAGCGAAACTAGTGAAGCGTCTTTCTAGACTCCCTTACGATGAGAGTTTAAAGCGCCTAAACCTTTTCCACTTGTCGTATCGTAGGACACTAGGTGACCTTATAGTGGCATTTCGTATCTTTAATTATAATTTGGGTGTTAGTATGTCTTATCTTTTTGTTCCCTCCAGCACTAATAATCTCCGAGGTCACAGCAAGAAGGTTCATAAACCACGATCTAATAAACTTAAAGTGGGGTCCCGTTTTTCCCATCGAGTAGCCAATCATTGGAACGCCTTACCCGAACAAGTGGTATCAGCTCCATTAGTGAATACTTTCAAGGAGAAGCTGAACCTTATTTGGAAAGCAATGTGTCAGGATTAATACAATTTCATCAACCTTCTATCCTTATTACTGAAGACTGAAGGCTGAAGAAGCTTTCGCTTAACGGGCTTCCGTGCCTAGTAGCAGTGGATAACCAATACCTGGAGTCAGGAACCTAGGTATATTAGTGATAATGGAGGAAAAACAAATTGGTAAATCATAGTAAGATATTATTCTTAGTTCTTAAGAATAGGTCGTTTTAAAGGACTCCTAGCAAAACGTTGGACTACCTCACTCGCCAGCGAATTCCAGCATTTGACAACCCTTAATGTATAGAAATTGTATCTACAGTGCGTTCTGCTGTGTTGCGTCTCTAGTTTCTGGGCGTTACCCCTTAGGTATGTGTTGAAGCTAAACTTAAGTAGGTGTTTAAGGGGATGTCCAGGAGTCTTTAGGATACTATAAGCCATTAGAGGGGCACCTCTAAGACGCTTATACTCTAACGAGTGAAAGCTTAGTGATTGAAGGCGCTCTTCATAAGGCTTGAATTCCAGCACCCATACCAATTTTGTGGCTCGCCGTTGGAAACGCTCTAGAATGTCTTTATCCTTTTGGGGTGATGGAGGAAATACTATATTTCTGTATTCTAAATAAGGGCGAATGATACTGTTGAAAATTATGTGGAAAGTTCTTCCGTCAAACTGTTACCAGTGTACGGTTTGCTCGTAAGGCATTTTTGTCACAGTTAGCGTAAGACTTCAAATCGTAGGGTACCAGTACTCCTAAAACATTTTCACCTTAGGATGCTTCTACAGAGAAGTTTCCCAAGTTGTAACTGTAGTCCGCAACATGTCTCAGACGGACTACTTTACACTTTGAAGTTCTAAGGGTTAGTCCGTTGTCATCTGCCTAACTTTGAAGTCAAGTCAGATCCTCTGAAGTGCCAGTATATCCTTTCGGTTGCGTATCTCTCCCTCCAAAGTTGCACGGCATCAGCATAAGAGTAATGTCAGACCATATCTGTTGTGGAAGATCGTATATATAAATCAAGAAAAGAAGAGGTCCTAGTACTGAACCCTGGGGGACCCCAGTAGGACATCCCATAGCCTGAAAGAGCATGTAAAGTTAACCTTGACCTTAAAATGTCGAATTTTTGGATATGAAGTGAGCCAGTCAATTAGAGGTGATTTGGTACCTAATCTTTTGAGCTTATTGATTAGACATATATGGCTGACCCTATCAAACGCTCTTGAGAAGTCAAGGCAAATGACGCCAACCTTCCCTTGTGATCAGTGATGGTTGTCTATCCGTCCACCGCAGTCAGCAGATTTGTTATACAATAATAACCCTTCCTGAAACCATAGTGTTAGGGTAAAAAGAAGTTTTCGGATAATAAATAGTCGTGTATACCGTCGCATATCAGGGACTTCATAATTTTGAAGGTATAGAGAGAAGAGCCACCGGTCGATAGCTTGAAGGTCCGCTGCGTCGACCTCGTTTGAAAATTGGTGTTATGTGAGCCTGCTTCCGAATTTCCGGTAGCTTGATTCGACTTAGCGAGTGTGAGAACATCACACTAAGCGGTGTTCCCAGAATTGAAGTTGCTTCCCTCAGTATAGCAGAATGAATTATATCCTAACCAGAAGAAGTGTCTTTTTTAGGTGCTGCAGTATCCAGTACACCAAGTCAGCGCTCGGGTTCATTTCGGAAAGCCCTATGGAGTTGCAGATAAAACTTTTATCAATATAGTTAGTGTGGGTCGGTTGAAATATTTCAGAGTACTGTTCAGTCAGAAGGTTAGCGGCGTCACTGCCGTTGTTATTCGGGCCTTTAGAACCTAGCAGTTGTAAAACTGAGGTCTTTGCTTGTCGAAGAGAGGTTGCACGACGAAATAAGCTTTTCGGATTGGAGACAAATTTATCGATAAGCTTTATCTGATACTGGAGCCTGTCTCATCTTGTTGCCTTTATACATATGCACCTTCTTTGTTTATATGCGCCGTTGTTATCAGTTCCTTTGTATTCCACCTAGCAGGAGTTCGGTTCTTGATGATTGTAAGTTGCTTGTAGCTTTTGGGGACCGATTGCGGAAGTGACTGCTTTGTAGCACACAAGATCGTGTGCAGTAGGAAATCACAATGAGCATCCACATCAAGTTGATGGTAAACTTCGCAGTTCACCAGCTGTTCATTGTCCTGTATAGCTGACACGTACAACCATTTGAACTTCCAGAGCCTGTTGCCGACAGGATGTCTTAGCTCACTTTTGCTGAAAAAATTGAAGTCCATGACGGCGTGATCGCTTCTCCCCAGGATCGAGAGGTTGTGAGTGTAAAATTCTTCGCTTGTAAACACCCAGTCTAAGCGCGACGGCGTTTAACTGTTTCTCCAATGAGTTGCCGACTTCACACTTTCGAATAATCCCAGATTCTCAATGAGGCTGAAGAACCAAGCTTCAATGGAGTTTTCACACCCACTATATATATATATATATATATATATATATATATATATACATGACTTTAAGAAGACTGAAGTCCCCTAGAATCAGGATATGAATGAATCCAAGACGAGTAGAGCGGGATAATCCTTCCAGCATACGATTGTCGTACTAGATGTCAGCAGTGGGTGTTTTGCAAATGACCTCAACTAGACACGTTGAGGTGGTAGACAATCTTACTGAGCACCATAGGGATGGCTGTGCACTTGATGGGCCTCCAGGCAGGATCGTAAGTATAAGGCTACTCCACCCCCAATTCCTGTGTTTTCGTCATTGCGAAACAAGGAAATCTTGGGTATTGCTAGCTCCTAGTCCGCAATTTGAGATATCCAAGTTTCAGATATTCCTGTCAGATGAGCATTATTAGCATTGCTAAGGCCACGTAGCTCACCCATTTTATTTGGTTAACTCGCCGCGTCCATGTATAAGCAGTTTATGCTTCCAATTCGAAACGCGTGAGCTTCTCCTTCCTGTTTGTCCGTATGAGCCTTATGTGAATGAACAGGTAGCCTACCTATACAAAGTCTTCAGGGTTGAAAGTCCCTGTTCTTTACACGTTCTTTATGATCAAGACAGTCCACAAGTTGGATGGCCAGCTCCAACTTGCCTATGTGCTTGATCCTGATGCCGTGTGGCCTATCCGGATGCATATGAATTCCAGTTGTCAACCGAAGCCTGTTAGCATAAAATACTTCCAGAGTTGCAGCCGCCATATGGGAGGATTGGAAAATTATTTTCATCAGCCACGATCTAGAATCCCCGTCCTTCTTGACTAGTTTCATCGCTTGTTGAGTCAGTATGTTTCAAGGCTTCAAAAATTACTTGATGAATTTCAGTTCCCTAGTGTCACAGTTTGTGTGACCAGGGTCTGTGTTTGCCGATACACTTTGCACAATGATATTTCTCCCGCGGAAAAACTCGCGAGATTCCTTAGGGATTTTCCGGATGAGATTGCGCTCAGAATACGGTATGTCAGGCAGTATTCTAACGTTGCCGTCAGATTTCAGTAGGTTACTAGCTAGTAGGATATCCTCTACGTCGGAAGCATTAGTGAGTGTTATACGAAGTAGCCTAGAGTCCTTTCCCCGAGTGAGCCGTATGACCATCAAAGGCTTTATTCTGGGTAGTTCAAA